CTAACTAGAAGGCTGGCGGTTCAAACCCACCAGCCACTCCTTGGAAGGAAGATTGGGCAATCTACTTCCATAGTTATACTTCCTCAGAAACCCACGGAGGGTTTGCTATGAGTGGGATCTGACTTGATGGCAGTGAATTTGGTTTGTTTTTTTAATCTGGGTATATATGCCTGTGGTTTCCAAAGGCTGGCAGTAATGGTAGGATTCTGCATTGACTCCCGTTAGGGTGATTCCCTCAGTCCTCAAGGTCCTCACCTTGACTATTGGTAAGCCCTGAAATTCTTCTTCCTGAATACCTGAGGATGCCCACTTTGATGTGGTACCTCAACTAGCTGAGATGCCTAGGGAGAACATGAGTGTGATTCACTATATCAGCATGCCCAGGTTACCCAGGCCTGGAAACAAAAGTGAGGCTTTATGGTTCCCCCTTGTGTCGAAGAGCAGTCACCTCATCATAACTCAGAGTCCTCACTTCGACTTCTCTTATAGACTAAGTCTCCTGCCTCTGTTGAACAGGCATCCCCATTAATGTGAGGACTTCACATCCCTGAGACTACCTGCCCCCAGGAACCAACTAGCGGGCATCTATGTTTGCCACTCTCACCATGGTTTCCCCAGGCCAACTGCAGAAGGGGGATTTTGGGCTGTCACTTCTCTTCAAAAGGGGCTAATTCCTTCTATCTCTTTTCAAGATTAGTTCCTTGTGTCCCACTTGGTTCTCTCTTCTGATTGGGGACCAAAACCAAACACACCACCAGAGCTCCTTGAATTGGGACAGCCAGTCTTAAACCAAGGATTTCACTTAACCTCCCAGATTTGTCCTAGGCTCCCAGGGCTAATGGCAATAACAAGGTTTAATGCAACTCTCCTCATTAGGGTTTAGTGGTCCTCAGTACCTCAATCATGCCATGACCCTGTACCATTTCTATGATTCACCTCTCTGTTGACAAAAGACTGTCCTTTCCTGAGACCTCAGACTTGGATATCAGAGTGAGCCACACCATGTGAACGCTGATTGAGGAACAATAGGTGTGTGCGGTTAGGCTAAGAGACACCACAGTTCCCAGTTAGATGGTACCTTGGTTCCTTACCAAGGCTTCAGGCCTTGCCTTCAGGCAGGGATTAGAATTCCTCCCTCTCCTACCCTGAGTCCACCTGAAAGCAGGGGTAGGGTTCTGTGTTTTAGAGTAAGACCCTCGCCTTTCTACAGGGGTGTCTGGGCACTGCACATCTGGCTACCACTGGCTGGGGGCTTCTGGTGCTGAGAGCAGGGGTGTGCTGTAGGCGATCCCTCTCTTGCCCAGAGGCCTCCTCTTAAGCAATAAGGGACCTCCCTTAGCTTCCAATTGGGGTCTAGGTCGCCTGCCTCTTCAGAAATGGGGCTGCCCCTTTAAAACAAGGCCTTTCTGTCCCAGAGACTTTGCAAGCTGAACTCAGCCTGAGGGCTCTGAGTCTGGAGGAAGGGCTGAGACTTTGTATTGTCTCCTGTATTCTGGGTTAGGTGGTCCCCTCAGTCGACATTCAGGGTCCTCACCTTGAATCCTGAGCAGTCCTGGGACTCTGCTGCAATGTTAAGAGATCGTGGTGCTCAAAGTGGAGACCGCACGTTTACTTCACTTCTGTAGCAAAAGGCCGGCTTGCAGACTATGTCACATCTCACCAAGGTTTCTTGTGGGCGTCAAAGGGGCAAGGCTGTTTGGGAGCCTCTAAGAACCATCATTGGAGGTGGGGCAGAGCTCTTGGAAACCCACTGTTTTGGATTCAATGGTCACTTAGTGGTCACTCAGGGACCTCACATTGATACGTATCAGAGCCTGTGGTTCCTGCCTATACAGACCTCAGGAACAGGCTCAGAACTAGACTGACACCTCGCAGAGGTGCTCAAAGGGGGAGCTCAGGGCATGCTGCATGGCTACCCTGCCTGCAGTCTCACAGGGTGGTGACTGGGTCAGTGCTCTGGGTAAAGCCTCTTTGGTGGTTAGTTCCTTCCCCCGATTAGCACTCAGGGCTCACACCTTCCTACCAAAAAAAAAAAAAAAAAAAATTGCACTGCCATGAAGTGGGACCCCTCCTTGGGTTTCTGAGGTGCTATCACTATGGAAGTAGATTGCCCAACCTTCCTTCTGACACCTGGCTACAGTCTGGGACAACACTCCTCCCTTAACAGAACTGGGGCTGCTTGCATTAGATCAAGGCTTTCCCTGTCCCATACCTTCTGTGTGGAAATGAGGGGTCACTTCAGGCCAATAGTTCTACCTGGTGCCTCCACTGGCTCAAACAGGACCTGAACTCTGAAAGGTCTTTCTGTTGGTGAGGGTCACCTCCAAAGACCCAACGTCTTCACTTGCACTGCTGTTAGGTCCTAGTCTGTTCCCTCTATAGAAGTACCAGAACTACTCCCCCTTCTCATACATCTTGGATGTGAGATGGAGATGCTGCAGCACAAGACTGGAGGTCCAGGATAGGTGGTGGCTGGCTTAGTAAATACACACTGATCTATTCTATCACTTCCTCCACCAGACCTGGCATCTGTTTGTCTTCTGTCCTAAAATGTTCCTTTGTATAGGAAAGGAGCCATCCAAGATGAGTTTGTGAGTATCAAATGCTTTAAGGTTATCAGACCTTGCACATGTACATGATCATAATGTCCCCAAATATTACCTTCCTTCGTTACTCATTTGATTGCTTATGCTCATTGCTATGGCTCTGTATTCTAATCCTGTACACTGGCACAAAATTTCTCTTTTCATCCCTAGATATATTTTGTGGAAGTGAGCTGTAAAGTGAATTAAGAGACACAAGATCTACCTCAGGCTGTATGAGTGGAACACTGTGGGCTCCAGACAGATTCAGATCATGGGTCTTGTGTAGCCCTGTCACTTAGTAGAGCTGTGAAAATGCAAAAATTGGAAATTCTTCATTGACAAAGTAACTCTGAGAACCCTAGTCTGTAGAACATTTGGAATGTCTGTAATACATTAAAAGTACCTGGTAGGGTGCCTGGGATGTTTTGGGTCCTTAATGAATGGAAGTTATTACTGTGATAGTATTGGCCCCAGGTGATACCACTCAGCTCTTTTTTTTTCTTTAAATCCAAGATTTGTGGGAGAATATGCAGTGATTCAGAAAAAAAGAAAATGAAATGAGCCAAAATACTGCTTAGGAAGGAAAAGTAGTTAGTATTTGGCATTGTTGTTGTTGATATGTGCTGTCGAATTGGACTCAACTCAGAGTGACCCCTCCTTGGGTTTCTGAGGCAGTATCACCATGGAAGTAGATTGCCAACCTTCCTTCCGAGGAGCGGCTGGTGGGTTTGAACCACCAGTCTTCTGGTTAGCAGTCAAGTGCCTTAGGCACTAAGCTACCAGAGCTCAAATTCCCCAGTTGGATCTAACACAAGGCTTCTAGGATCGTCAGTGCCAACAATCCCTCCTCTCAGCTGCCTTTCCATCTTACTCACCCCTATTTTCATTCATGTCACTACTATCAAAAATCTGGTCTTCACTTGGATTTTGCCTCAGGACACGCAGGAAATCCTAATTCTAACATCCTTTGAATGGAGTGGGCTCTGGCTCTCTCAGCCCAAAACAAAGGTCTGTAACAGTGGCTTCCTCACATCTTAGCTCAGTGGAGTATCACCCTACTTCTCAGACACTTCCTGGAAATGGTGTAAATAAAACACCCAGGCAGTGCATGTGTTCAAGTGCACTGGGACAAGAGCACAGGACACTTCCAAATCTGTCTCAGGTCGCATTCCTCTCTGGTTTACCTACAATCCAAGAGTCTCTGTTAAGACCCAGTCTCCATTCCAGGTTTAATCTCCCCCCCCATGATGGGAGTGTCTGCCCCAGAGCACCCCTATCACAGCCTCATTAATTGTCCTCACTTTACCCCAACTTCCACCCACTATTGTTAAGCACCCCATGCAGCCTAACTTTAAATGGCTTCCCCCTCAGGCACTTGGAATTTCCCAAAACCTCACACTGCCCTGATTCATACCTTTACACTGACTGCTCTCACCTAGACCTCCCCTCCTCACTCCTTTTCACTTGTTAATTTACGCCTTAAAGCACATCTCACTGATTCCTTATCTGATAGCTGCTTTTCAACTGTAACATGTATGACCATGGGATTGGGCTCCTTATAAAGCATTTCCAGTAATAGCTTGAAGCCCACCAACTACCAGATGCTCAGTTAATATTTGAGTTATAAAATAAACAGTGAACAAAGTGTCTAATTTGTGACACTTTAATTTCTACATCCTTGAATCCAGGTAAATCCAGGTATGTATCTTTTCATTTCCAAAAATATGTATTACAAGAAAATAAGCACACTAAGATTTAACAAAATGTACTGAAATGTTTTTCTTTTCTTTATCCCAAGTATTCTTCTATGGGAATCATTCACATTTCCAAGAAAACCCATATTCTAATACATGTTACCTTTTTTGGATCAGAACATAAATTTCAGGATGTTCTATTTGTTTTTTTAGAATATCAAAATTCTTTCGTTAATTCATGAAAGCAACAATAAACAAGTGATCCATGACATTCATAAACTTGGATTATAAATCAAAATATTACACTAAAAAAAAATAATA